ATGGTCCAGTTGTTCAGAGACTTGCGGTCAGCAGTCAATACAAATGCGCATGCGTATTTGCATGAGTCCGAGGCCTCAATACGGCGGAAAGGATTGCCCTGGGTCGAGGTTTAAAATTCAACATTGTGCAACGCAACCCTGCCAAGGTAAATCATTATTTATACAAGTTAGTTCTATAGTTTTAAAATGCTCTCCCTAGAAGTACTGCATGTAAGATCCATCCCTTATTACTTCAGTGTTACTACAGGAGGAAAGCTACACTATAAAACTTAACTTGATTTATACTGGATAGCTCTATCAGTTCTAACTCTAAACTGTTTCTCCTAGAGGCCAATAAGAATAATTTTTTATTGATCCAGTCTTACTACAGGAGGAAACCTATAAACTAAAATAACTTTATTTATTATTAGCATGACAAAATTACTGGATGCTGATTGGTTGAGAGGAGTACAATTATTTCATTAATTGTACTGCAGTACAATAATATTAACGATTTTCCCAAAACAAACAAAATGGCGGAAAGGTATTTTAAACAGATGTGAAATGAAATTGCCCTAGAGGAACTGGATGAAAATACAAACAAAAGCACCAAATTTTGCTTTAACAAAAGAACTAAATGAAAATACGAACAAAAGCACCAAATTTTGGTTGAATGTCTGGCAGGACTGGACTTTGGCGAGAGAATATAATGTTGACATTGAGAAGTATCTAATTTTGTCATGCTAATAATAAACAAGTAATCATACGACGTTGCTCGACGTTACTCGCCCCGGCGGCTCGTCCAATTTTGGCAAAATTTCCAAACATCACTCGCAATATTAATCCCTAATTGTACTTGCCATCGCATGATTACCTGTACTATTTATACTGGATAGCTCTACAGTATCTGTTCTTGTCTGGGTAGAAGTAGTAGTAGTAGTAGTAGAAGTAGTCTATATGTTTATATACAAAATAGGCAAACTTCGCAAGGGCCAAGGCTATATTTTCCGTATTTTACAACATTAATACTAGGCAAACTTCGCAAGGCTATATTTTCCGTATTTTACTAATTTTAATAAGTTCTTTACAGAAATTTTTTTTTTGTTTAAATGAGTTAACATTCAAGTTGTCTATTTGCTCGTTGTAAATCACTATGGAACCAACTCATTGATACACTACAATATTTTAGTTGAATCTGCAGCAGAAGAAACACCCAACCATAGCGAGAATAAAGACAGAGGCTTTGGCGATTCAAGCGAACTCGTTGATAGCCTGAAAACCATCTTGCAGTTGAAAACGTCAAGCCTTGAGGAGAAATTGTCAGCCGAACCTACGGGCAGTGCTTCAAAATTGTTTGATACCATTTATCAGGGTAGCAGTGACATTGCGAGATCAGACAAGCCTGGAAATGCATCCAAAACTGATGACAGCCTTACCGAGTCTCTCTCAAATGCTAACTCGGAAAATATTCTCCAAAAAGCAGACAAAATAGACTCAAAAATATTTACCTCAGATAGCATTTTGTCAGATAGAAATGTGAATAAGCTTACAGATATAAAACTAGACCAAACACTTTTAAACAAAAACTCTAGTTCCCCTATCGCTGATAAAGGATTAGGTAAAAGCGAAAATTTAGTGCCAAATGAAAAAGTAGGTACGCTTAGGGCACATTTGAAGAATACTAACGATACTGCAGACTCAGAACGCTTGTCGGATCTAATCGGAAATGTTGACAATGCTGCCACCGGGGTTAGCGATGAAATGTCGAAATTGTCGACAGAAAAGCCGGAAATCACGAAAAGCGCGGTAAAAACTGGACAAGCTGATATATTTGGGAAAATTAACGGGGATGGCACTTTAGTAGAGTCATCGCTACGTGGAGGTCACGCGTGGGCATCAGGGGAGTTGGACCGAAAACACGAAGTTAAGAATACCAGTATGTTGGCTCCGGTGAATAACAATAGTACAGTGACAAAGTTTGATTCTATCTTTGTGGACAATGATGAAGGCGATGTAATGGAGGCGAATAATAATGAAACGACAGCGAATGAAATATACACACAGAATTCTATTCTAAATGCGCCAAGTTCAGAGTTTGCCAAGTCTGGAAAATCTGAGAATAAGAAGCCAAATGCTCATACCCTCAACTCCATAATTTCTAAGGAGGGAAAATTGCCCAACTCTGTGCATGAACCGCCGGAGGAACTTAATAATCAGATTCTAAATGCGTCGATTTCTAAGCTGGAAAAAGTTGCGAGATCTAAAAAACTTGGCGCTGAGCAGAAAGGTGATCCCGTGCAACGCATGTTTCCTAAGCATGCAGCCAAAGATGAAATGCGTGATAAGTCTGTGGATGATCACGTGCGACTAAGGACTGCCAGTGTTTCTACTACAGACAATGGTACCTCGGTATCCAGCATCTTGGGCGTGATACGATATGACGAGGACGAGAAAAACCCAGCTACTAAGTGTAAGTACCAACAAGTCAGGATTCGACACACCCGCGAGTTGTTATAGATCTGCAAACAAGTTGTTGTCAAGCGGATACCACAGGCCTTAAAATATTTTTTACAGGATCGTCTGACAAAATGTCCGATGACATTGAGTTTGGGTCGGACATATGTCCGATGACCTTCAGTTCAGTTTTGACTCGGAAATAAGTCTGAATGACACAAACGAATATCAGCACAATGTATTAATTCTGAACGGTAAATGTTGTGAAGATATTAAATATTTTGTGTCATTCATATTTATTTCCAAGTCAAAATTAACTTGCTTGCAAGAACAGCAGTAAGACATCGACAACTTAAGCCCGTTTTCCACTTCACCATTTCGCTCGCCGTCCCGCGCTTGATTAGCTACGTTAAAACAACATTTCCAGTTCACTTTTTATACAATACTCAATAGTCCTCTGATTTTCCATTCAACATACGAGCCTCTAGTCCTGGACTAGGGTATACATTTTGATTTACGTTGGACAAAGCTACAGTTCGGTCGGACACCAATACACTCGGGTCGGACAAACATTAAACCTCAGTTTCACTTAGGGCGAACAGAATGTCCTGTGGTTTCCTCTCTACGTCGGACAATTTCACGCATGGGTCGGACAATGTCCGTGACCGACCGATATTTTAAGGCCTGGGATATCAGGATGTGTTCGCACTGCTTGTTCCCAGTTGTTGTGACAAGTTTGGAACAAGTTGTTATCACCTTGTTCCAAGGTTGATGACGGTTTCAGGCTTGATACTGATACAAATTGTTCCGACAAGACTGATAGAGACTATTTCACGTTGCCAGCAAGTTGCCACAAGCTTGTTGTCATCAACTTGTTAATTGACAACTTGTTACGTGCAGACGATATCAGACTTGTTGGAACAACTTGTTGCGAGTCTGTTTGCCTCATCAACCTTGTTACAAGATGACAACAACTGAGAACAAGCAGTGAGAACACATCTGGTTGACAAGTTGTGAGATTTTTACGCGTGTACACACGCAATAATCTCGCATCTTCTCAGCGTGCTGTCAACAAGTCATTGGCTTCACTTGTTGTCAACAAGTCATTGGCTTCACGCGTGTACACACGCAATAATCTCGCATCCTGTCAGCGTGTTGTCAACAAGTCATTGGCTTCACTTGTTGTCAACAAGTCATTGGCTTCACGCGTGTACACACGCAATAATCTCGCATCTTGTCAGCGTGTTGTCAACAAGTCATTGGCTTCACTT